GATGACGACATTTGGAATGCACTCGAGAATGTTGAGCTCAAAGAATTTGTATTGAAAAATAATGGATTGCAAATGCCGGTTCTGGCTCATGGACAGAATTTCAGCACGGGCCTAAGACAAATCTTATGCTTGTCACGTGCGATTTTGAGAAAGAATCGCATCATTATTCTTGACGAAGCAACAGCAAATGTAGACCTTCGGTAACTCACTTCTTTTTCGTAACACCATTGATGTCTATTCTCATTAAATTCAAAACAAATAATTTGCCTTCGTATCTCTTTCAGGTCGGATGAGTTGATTCAGAGGACAATAAGAGAGAAATTCGCTAACTCTACTGTATTGACTGTTGCGCATAGAATTAACACAGTCATCGATTCTGATCGCGTATTAGTTATGGATGCTGGTGTTGCCGTTGAGGTCGATGCTCCCTATGTTCTTTTGAAAAACAATGATGGAGCATTCCGGAAAATGGTCGAAGCGCTCGGACAACAAGAATATGATCGCTTGTATTTAAAAGCCAAGGCAAAATTTGAAAGATCCACATTTTGTGAAAAATAAACTCAATCTCTGATCCATTTTTATGGACAAAGTTCAAATCTAGGGGGTAGACACAATAGAGAATGAATGAATACCAATGAATTGTCATAATACCTATCTATTTTCAAATATGACAATTACTTACTTATTTAAAGATTACTTGTACTAAAAATGTGAATACCGTGATTACCAAATGTCAAATTGATATCGGTAATAAAGATTTCAAGTTTCTTCCATTTCGTTTTAACATTCACCATTTCGAAATTTATTTTAATTTTTTCCGTTTTCTTTCTGCTATTTTTATCAAAATTGTTTTTGTATTTATTAAACCAATTGAAATACTACACTTAATAGCGTTGAAAAAGCTTTTTTAATATTTGGAAGATAATATTCATATATGCACATTGTGAGACGTTGCTGAATGCATTGACATTTCGTCTAAAACTGAGAATACCAAGAATACCAAGAGTACCTTCAATTTCGGTGAATATCTCAAGTAATATTCCATGTGTCTACCCCCTAGGTTCAAATGCATCTGTTATTTATTTTGTTGTTCACATCACACAAAGCGACGCACATTAATATGCCACAAAATCATCTTCAATCGTGTTTTCTACATGAAATATGCATAGAAAACATGTTTTGGGGTGAATTTAATTTTTTGGCCTAATCAATACCTTTCCTACACTAGGTGTGCGGAAAAGTAAAACTTCAAAACATTCATTCAGTGAACGAAAGCATTGTGTGAATATTTCCTCAAAAAAAATCAATGAAAGTATTTTTGTTATTTTTTAAATTCACAGCGGTGAATACAATGCAGAATGACTCAACGGTATTTGAACAAAGATATGTGCAAAGATTCCATTTTCAGTATAAATTAAGGTTGCGGTTGAACTCAAATTTCACATTAGAAATCAATATATTTTCCAGTTATTTCGAACTATTGAGGGCTATAAGATGTCGTTTTTTGGAAATCTTCTTCTGTTTTCGTGTTTTTCATTTATTTTAGCGCATCCAATGATTCAATCTAACGAGGTTTTAATAAGTTTGGAAAATGAATACAGGTATATTATAATTTTTGTTGTTTGCAAGATTATTCGACCTGTGAATATATGTTGCTTTATTCAATTAGAGAAATTGCTGAGTTGCCAGGTGTTTCAACGGTAATTGGTGGGTGAGTGATCTTCATGAATATTTATTCTACAATTTGAATATTTTATACATTTTATTTTCATATTTAAGTGCTGTGAAAGCTATACCCCATGCCATTAATATAGCAAGGGATCCATTGGGTGGAACTCTTAAAATGTTTGGTTCATTAGTTGGTTGATAACGTTCAAAGCAGAAAATGCAGCAGCCCAGTCTTAAATTTTTTATTTTCTTCTGAAATCTACAAAGCAACAATTTGATTAGGATAAACTTTCAATTTACATTTATTTAAAATGACGTGTGAATTGGTGTGTAAAAATAAAAGATTTTCAAAAAATGTATTCTTTTAAATATTTATTTAACCGTTTCAAATGTGATTTAAAACAAGCGGTAATCGTTCTTCGGTTGCATTTCATTTGGAATCTGGCCGTTTATGTATGCACGTCCCCGTTGTAGATCTTTTTGTTCGATCTCACCGTATTTCAAACACAATATATGAAATTGAATATGAAGATTGAAAAACTAAAAATTCTCTCATTTGAACAACAAATTTCGTTTTTTTTTTTTGCTCTTCACTTTTGTGGCGAAAATCCCTGGCAAACCTCTTTGATGAGCAAAAAAAAGGTCTTCACTTTTAGAATCAAAAACCCTAGCAAATTCGAATAATTTTCGCGAAAAAAATTTTCTCATCCAAATCACAGGGGGGGTAGACCACCCCCTACCCACCCCCCCTCGCACATTAATGGTGTAAATGTATCTTATTGAAGTACTGAGTTATGTAAACCAGAGATTCCCAGTGGACTCGAGCATATGTATAAAATAAAATTGGAAATTGCATCGAGGATTTCACTCAGGAACTGACATAAATGTCATATACATCGCGCATGCTATATGAATTTCAGCCTAAAAATGGACAAAATGAGATGGACACAAGTCAAAGAACAATCAGAACCTTTGTTTTTTTTAAAACTTTTTTTACTTTTTGACGTGCGCCAAAAAATATGCAAAAATACAATAATTTGCCAGTTTCGAATCACATGTATCAGTTGAAAATTGCCGCAATCCTTTTCACGGTGAAACATTCAAACCGTTGATAGAAACGAAAAATTCATTGTCCATGAATTTCGGTGTTATAAAATCAATCCAAATATTTACTTTAATATTTGCATTTGATATCTTAATTCTTAATATTTGCAGTTGTTAGCTCATCATTTCGATGAATTTTGAAACAATAAACTTAAAGAACAAATGAACAAAAGCATTGTGTGAATAATTACTCGGCGGAAAACAATAGAAATATTTTTGTTATTGTGCATAAATTGCGCGTCAAATTCACGCTGACTTCATAGCATTCAAAGAAATATGTACGAAAAATACCATTTTCAGAATATATAAAGGTTGCGACTGAACTCAATACAGCTTAGTAACGTTATCAAGCTGTGTATCGGTAAACTGATTTCCATAAAAAGATGTCAATTTTACTATTACGAATTCTCCTACTGCCATCGTGTATTTCATTTGTTATGGCACAATGTGCTGCGACGATAAACTCGGAAAAAAGAACGGAAAATGAAGAAAACGTTTCTGTTCCGGAAAAGTTTGAAGATTTGCCAATTCAAGAAGCCACAGACACGCCTGATAAATTAGAAAGCAACAATTTTGTTCAGGAAGAGATCAAACCAGAGCAATACGCAAAAGATGAACAAAACTTGCCAATTCAAAGAATCATAAACACACCCGATGAAGAAAGTAGTCCGGAAAAGGTCGAAAATCTGAAATTCAGTACGGATCAACCGAGTTTGGATTCTGAAAAGAACACAGCTGCGCCATATGAAGAAGGCACCGACGATTCCGTTTCGAAAACAGTCGACCCTAACGGAATCACAAATAATGAACAGAGTTTGCAGACTGAAGTGAGCACAGACACGCCCGACAAAGTAATAGGCGAGAATTTTGTTTCGGAAAAGATCGAACCCGAAAAATTCGCAAGAGATGAAGCAAATTTGCAGACTGAATTGAACACGGACAGGCCCGATGAAATACTGGGCGAGAATTTCGTTTCAGAAAAGATCGAACCAGAGAAATCCACAAAAATTGGAGCGAATTTGCAAAGTGAAGGCACCACGGATACCGCCGATGGAGACAAAGATGGGGAAAAGGTTGAACCTCAGAAATTCAGTACGGATCAACCGAGTTTGAATTCTGAAAAGAACACAGCTGCGCCATATGAAGAAAGCACAGACGATTCCGTTTCGAAAACAGTCGACCCTAACGGAATCACAAATAATGAACAGAGTTTGCAGACTGAAGTGAGCACAGACACGCCCGACAAAGTAATAGGCGAGAATTTTGTTTCGGAAAAGATCGAACCAGAGAAATCCACAAAAATTGGAGTGAATTTGCAAAGTGAAGGCACCACGTATACCGCCGATGGAGACAAAGATGGGGAAAAGGTCGAACCTCAGAAATTCAGTACGGATCAACCGAGTTTGAATTCTGAAAAGAGCACAGATGCACCATATGAAGAAAGCACAGACGATTCCGTTTCGAAAACAGTCGTCCCCAACGGAATCACAAATAATGAACAGAGTTTGCACACTGAAGTGGGCACGGACACGCCCGACAAGATAATAGGCGAGAATTTTGTTTCGGAAAAGATCGAACCCGAGAAATCCACAAAAATTGAAGCGAATTTGCAAAGTGAAGAGACCACGGATACGGCCGATGGAGACAAAGATGGGGAAAAGATTGAACCTCAGAAATTCAGTACGGATCAACCGAGTTTGAATTCTGAAAAGAGCACACATGCGCCATATGAAGAAAGCACAGACGATTCCATTTCGAAAACGGTCGATCCCAACGGAATCACAAATAATGAACAGAGTTTGCACACTGAAGTGAGCACGGACACGCCCGACAAAGTAATAGGCGAGAATTTTGTTTCGGAAAAGATCGATCCAGAGAAATCCACAAAAATTGGAGCGAATTTGCAAAGTGAAGACACCACGGATACGGCCGATAGAGACAAAGATGGGGAAAAGGTTGAACCTCAGAAATTCAGTACGGATCAACCGAGTTTGAATTCTGAAAAGAACACAGCTGCGCCATATGAAGAAAGCACAGACGATTCCGTTTCGAAAACAGTCGACCCTAACGGAATCACAAATATTGAACAGAGTTTGCAGACTGAAGTGAGCACAGACACGCCCGACAAAGTAATAGGCGAGAATTTTGTTTCGGAAAAGATCAAACCCGAAAAATTCGCAAGAGATGAAGCAAATTTGCAGACTGAATTGAGCACGGACATGCCCGGTGAAAAAGGTAGCGAGAATTTCGTTCCAAAGAATGCCAAACTTGAAGAACCCGCAAAAGATGAAGTCAATTTGGAAGAGAACACAGACACGCCCCAAGAAGAAAGCAGAGGGAATTCTGTTCCAGAAGAGGCTGCAATTCAAAAACATCCAAAAAACCCGAGTTTGCAATCCTCGAACAAGTATATAATGAATTGATACAACATTTTTCTATGAATTAACAACATTTTGTTTTATTACTATAGCGACGTTGTCATGAAAGTGCCATTCTCTTGGAAAAAGTTGAAAGAAAAGCTTTGGGAAGGGTGAGTAGTATACCTTACTAAACTAGATTTAATGTTTTTTAATTTTGTTTTCATATTAAAG